TCATAATTAGGACCCTGAACTTTCAGTTAGTTCAGAAAATCAGCATTATCTGCTGTAAATATTTATGCATTTTAAAAGTTGTGGTATTTAGCCTCTTCAAAAATGCCTGAAAATTATTTACAAATATTGTAGTGTTGTACTTGATGTTAGTGTCATCAAGGTCAGCAGGAGGTGAGGATAATATTGATACAGACATTAAACCATTACAGGAAGTTAAGGGATTTTTATCAGCCCAAGAAGTTAAGGGAACTTCTTCCCTCTTCTTAAACAATGATGCCAATGTCATCTGCTTCTTATCTAGACTTTTCAACTTCTTCTTTTAGTACTTGGTTATGATTATAATAAGAATTTGACTTCTTGATTACCTGTTTGCATATCATGGGCAGTTGCTTGCCTCATAAGCATTGGATTGTTGGGTGTTAAATTTATTTGGAAGTTCTGAATCCCAAAGTGTCAGACAGCATCTTGGGAATGGTAGATTATCAGGATCTGTCTGAGGAATAGAAGAGTAGCTCCAGTTTCTTGGATCAAGAGCCCTTTACCTGTATCAAGGCATCCTTCACTGAAGATGATTGTCACTTTTAGTCACCAATTGCAGTGTGTGTGTTTAAAGTAACTGTGATGATTTCACATGGTGTATTACACTGTTGCTTAGTCTTATTTAAGCCTGTTATCAGTATTTATTTGGGGTGTATGACCCTTGTGGGTTTAGTTCTTGGTTTTGATTATAATAATAATCAGTATTTATTGATTCCTTATTAATGATTAAAAGGAAATAAAATGATTAAATTTAAAAAAAAAATCAAAAGCAAAACACTCATTTCTTATAATAATACACAAGTTTTCCACAGGTCAATGATGCACAAGTTTTTCACAGTATACAACACTACACAGGTTTTTCACAGTACAATGACAGGTTTTTCACAGTACAATGACAGGTTTTTCACAGTACATTGACAGGTTTTTCACAGTACAATGACAGGTTTTTCACAGTACAATGACAGGTTTTTCACAGTACAATGACTGGTGATTTGCAGTACAATGACAAAGGTTTTTCACAGCACAATGATATACAGTTTTTTACAGTAAAATGACAGGTTTTCACAGTACAGTGATACACAAATTTTTCACAGTACAATGACAGGTTTTTCATCACAAAATTTAATGACAATCTTAGTTATCGCTTCAGATATGTAAACATTTGAATTTTCATGCACTTAACATACAACTCAAATTGTCATTAAATTTTGTGATGGAAAAATTCCATTACATTATTTTCTGTAGGTAGTAGGTTGGTAGACAGTAACCACCCAGGGAAATACTACCATCCTGCCAGATGACTGTGAAACAGAAACCTGTAACTGTTTTACATGATGGTAGGATTGCTGGTTTCTTTTTCTGTCTCATAAACACGCTAGATAACAGGGATATCTTGCTACTCCTACTTACACTTTGGTCACACTTCACAGACACGCACATGCATATATATATATACATACATTTAGGTTTTTCCCCTTTTTCTAAATAGCTCTTGTTCTTCTTTATTTCTTCTATTGTCCGTGGGGAAGTGGAAAAGAATCTTTCCTCCGTAAGCCATGCGTGTCGTATGAGGCGACTAAAAGGCCGGGAGCAATGGGCTAGTAACCCCTTCTCCTGTAAACATTTACTAAAAAAGAGAAGAAGAAAAACTTTATAAAACTGGGATGCTTAAATGTGCGTGGATGTAGTGCGGATGACAAGATACAGATGATTCTTGGTGTTATGAATGAAAAGAAGTTGGATCTCCTGGCCCTAAGCAAAACAAAGCTGAAGGGGGTAGGGGAGTTTCGGTGGGGAGAAATAAATGGGATTAAATCTGAAGTATCTGAGAGAGTTAGAGCTAAGGAAGGGGTAGCAATAATGTTGAAGGATCAGTTATGCAAGGAGAAGAGAGAATATGAATGTGTAAATTCAAGGATTATGTGGATTAAAATAAAGGTTGGATGCGAAAAGTGGGTCATAATAAGCGTGTATGCACCTGGAGAAGAGAGGAGTGTAGAGGAGAGATTTTAGGAGGTGTTAAGTTAATGTATAGGAACCTTTGAACCAAGTGAGAGAGTAATTGTGGTAGGGGACCTGAATGCTAAAGTAGGAGAAACTTTTAGAGAGGGTGTGGAGGTAAGTTTGGGGTGCCAGGTGTAAATGATAATGGGAGCCCTTTGATTGAACTTTGTATAGAAAGGGGTTTAGTTATAGGTAATACATATTTTAAGAAAAAGAGGATAAATAAGTATACAATATATGATGTAGGGTGAAATGACAGTAGTTTGTTGGATTATGTATTGGTAGATAAAGGACTGTTGAGTAGACTTCAGGATGTATATGTTTATAGAGGGGCCACAGATATATCAGATCACTTTCTAGTTGTAGCTACACTGAGAGTAAAAGGTAGATGGGATACAAGGAGAATAGAAGCATCAGGTAAGAGAGAGGTGAAGGTTTATAAACTAAAAGAGGAGGCAGTTAGGGTATTTTATAAACAGCTATTGGAGGATAGATGGGCTAATGAGAGCATAGGCAATGGGGTCGAAGATGTATGGGGTAGGTTTAAAAATGTAGTGTTGGAGTGTTCAGCAGAAGTTTGTGGTTACAGGAAAGTGGGTGCGGGAGGGAAGAGGAGCGATTGGTGGAATGATGATATAAAGAGAGTAGTAAGGGAGAAAAAGTTAGCATATGAGAAGTTTTTACAAAGTAGAAGTGATGGAAGGAGGGAAGGGTATATGGAGAAAAAGAGAGAGGTTATGAGAGTGGTGAAGCAATGTAAAAAGGGGGGAAATGAGAGAGTGGGTGAGATATTATCAGCAAATTTTGTTAAAAATAAGAAAAAATTTTGGAGTGAGATTAACAAGTTAAATAAACCTAGAGAACAAATAGATTTGTCAGTTAAAAATAGGAGAGGAGAGTTATTAAATGGAGAGTTAGAGGTATCGAGAAGGTGGAGGAAATATTTTGAGGAACCGTTAAATGCTGGTGAAGCTAGGGAAGCTGTGATTTTGTGTATAGGGCAAGGAGGAATAACATCTTGTAGGAGTGAGGAAGAGCCAGTTGTGAGTGTGGGGGAAGTTCGTGAGGCAGTAGGTAAAATGAAAGGGAGGTATGGCAACTGGGATTGATGGGATAAAGATAGAAATGTTAAAAGCAGATGGGATATAGTTTTGGAATGGTTGGTGCTATTATTTAATAAATGTATGGAAGAGGGTAAGGTACCTAGGGATTGGCAGAGAGCATGCATAGTTCCTTTGTATAAAAGCAAAGGGGAAAAAAGAGAATGCAAAAATTATAGGGGGATAAGTCTGTTGAGTATACCTGTAAAGTGTGAAGTTATTATTGAAAAAATTAAGAGTAAGATGGAGAATAGGATAGCAGATGAACAAGGAGGCTTTAGGAAAGGCAGGGGGTGTTTAGACCAAGTGTTTGCAATGAGACATATAAGTGAACAGTATTTAGATAAGGCTAAAGAGGTTTTGTGTCATTTATGGATTTGGAAAAGGCATATGACAGGGTGGATAAGGGGGCAATGTGGCAGATGTTGCAGGTGTATGGTATAGGAGATAGGTTACTGAAAGCAGTGAAGAGTTTTTACGAGAATAGTGAGGCTCAAGTTAGAGTATGTATGAAAGAGGGAGATTATTTCCCAGTAAAAGTAGGCCTTAGACAAGGATGTGTGATGTCACCGTGGTTGTTCAGTATATAGATGGGGTTGTAAGAGAAGTAAATGTGAGGGTCTTGGCAAGAGGCGTGGAGTTAAAAGATAAAGAATCACACATAAAGTGGGAGTTGTCACAGTTGCTTTTTACTGATGACACTCTGCTTTTGGGAGATTCTGAAGAGAAGTTGCAGAGGTTGGTGGATGAATTTGGTAGGGTATGTAAAAGTAGAAAATTAAAAGTGAATACAGGAAAGAGTAAGATTATGAGGATAACAAAAAGATTAAGTGATGAAAGATTGGATATCAGATTGGAGGGAGAGAGTATGGAGGAGGTGAATGTATTCATATATTTAAGAGTGGACGTGTCAGCGGATGGGTCTATGAAAGACGAGGTGAATCATAGAATTGATGATGGGAAAAGGGTGAGCAGTGCACTTAGGAGTCTGTGGAGACAAAGAACTTTGTCCTTGGAAGCAAAGAGGGGAATGTATGAGAGTATAGTTTTACCAACGCTCTTATATGGGTGTGAAGCATGGGTGATGAATGTTGCAGTGAGGAGGAGGCTGGAGGCAGTGGAGATGTCATGTCTGAGGGCAGTGTGTGGTGTGAATATAATGCAGAGAATTCGTAGTTTGGAAGTTAGGAGGAGGTGCGAGATTGCCAAAACTGTTATCCAGAGGGCTGAGGAAGGGTTGTTGAGGTGGTTCAGACATGTAGAGAGAATGGAACGAAACAGAATGACTTCAAGAGTGTTTCAATCTGCAGTGGAAGGAAGGTGGGGTAGGGGTTGGCCTAGGAAAGGTTGGAGGGACGGAGTAAAGGAGGTTTTGTGTGCGAGGAGCTTGGATTTCCCGCAAGCATGCGTGAGCGTGTTTGATAAAAGTGAATGGAGATAAATGGTTTTTAATAATTGACATGCTGTTGGAGTGTGAGCAAAGTAACATTTATGAAGGGGTTCAGGGAAACTGGCAGGCCGGACTTGAGTCCTGGAGATGGGAAGTACAGTGCCTGCACTCTGAGGGAGGGGTGTTAATGTTGCAGTTTTATAAACTGTAGTGTAAAGCACCCCTCTGGCAAGACAGTGATGGAGTGAATGATGGTGAAAGTTTTTCTTTTTCTGGCCACCCTGCCTTGGTGGGAATTGGCCAGTGTGTTAATAAATAAATAATAATTATTTTTTTATTTTCAATATTAATATCACATCTTTCATAATTGAAAAAAAATGTATTTTGAATGTTTGGCTTCAGTTTCTACGATTTCATTGGTTTTCCTGTACATTATTAGACAATGTAGTCTTCACATTCTTTTGCAGCTTAAGTCCATATTTTGTGAATCGCTTTCAAAGGGCTTTCGACTCTGGTCCTGTGAAGCTGCAGCAAATTGAGGGTGTTACCTTTGTTATTATTAACAGTATGGCTCTAGAGGGAGATGACTGCTTCCTCTGTAAGCCAGCACTCGACAAGATCAAGAGTATATCAAGTAAGTCATTACTGTTTTTATATTTTTTTAACACACCAACTGTCTCCCACCAAAGCAGGATTACCTGAAAGAGGAGAAACGAAATAATAACAATAAAAATAAAATATAATAATAATTAAGTGTGCAGAACAACCACTGTGAAAATAAAGGAACTGTAAAAATTAAAGATCAACAGAAAGGCATGGTCTTTTACTTTTATGGTTGATATTTTGGAGAGTTAGAGGTATTGGGAAGATGGAGGGAATATTTTGAGGAATTGTTAAATGTTGATGAAGATAGGGAAGCTGTGCTTTCGTGTATAGGGCAAGGAGGAATAACATCTTGTAGGAGTGAGGAAGAGCCAGTTGTGAGTGTGGGGGAAGTTCGTGAGGCAGTAGGTAAAATGAAAGGGGGTAAGGCAGCCGGGACTGATGGGATAAAGATAGAAATGTTAAAAGCAGGTGGGGATATAGTTTTGGAGTGGTTGGTGCAATTATTTAATAAATGTATGGAAGAGGGTAAGGTACCTAGGGATTGGCAGAGAGCATGCATAGTTCCTTTGTATAAAGGCAAAGGGGACAAAAGAGTGCAAAAATTATAGGGGGATAAGTCTGTTGAGTATACCTGGTAAAGTGTATGGTAGAGTTATTATTGAAAAAATTAAGAGTAAGACGGAGAATAGGATAGCAGATGAACAAGGAGGCTTTAGGAAAGGTAGGGGGTGTGTGGACCAGGTGTTTACAGTGAAACATATAAGTGAACAGTATTTAGATAAGGCTAAAGAGGTCTTTGTGGCATTTATGGATTTGGAAAAGGTGTATGACAGGGTGGATAGGGGGGCAATGTGGCAGATGTTGCAGGTGTATGGTGTAGGAGGTAGGTTACTGAAAGCAGTGAAGAGTTTTTACGAGGATAGTGAGGCTCAACTTAGAGTATGTAGGAAAGAGGGAAATTATTTCCCAGTAAAAGTAGGCCTTAGACAAGGATGTGTGATGTCACCATGGTTGTTTAATATATTTATAGATGGGGTTGTAAGAGAAGTAAATGTGAGGGTCTTGGCAAAAGGCGTGGAGTTAAAAGATAAAGAATCACACAAAGTGGGAGTTGTCACAGTTACTTTTTGCTGATGACACTGTGCTCTTGGGAGATTCTGAAGAGAAGTTGCAGAGATTGGTGGATGAATTTGGTAGGGTGTGCAAAAGAAGAAAATTAAAAGTGAATACAGGAAAGAGTAAGGTTATGAGGATAACAAAAAGATTAGGTGATGAAAGATTGGATATCAGATTGGAGGGAGAGAGTATGGAGAAGGTGAATGTATTCAGATATTTGGGAGTGGACGTGTCAGCGGATGGGTCTATGAAAGATGAGGTGAATCATAGAATTGATGAGGGGAAAAGGGTGAGTGGTGCACTTAGGAGTCTGTGGAGACAAAGAACTTTGTCCTTGGAGGCAAAGACGGGAATGTATGAGAGTATAGTTTTACCAACGCTCTTATATGGGTGTGAAGCATGGGTGATGAATGTTGCAGCGAGGAGAAGGCTGGAGGCAGTGGAGATGTCATGTCTGAGGGCAATGTGTGGTGTGAATATAATGCAGAGAATTCGTAGTTTGGAAGTTAGGAGGAGGTGCGGGATTACCAAAACTGTTGTCCAGAGGGCTGAGGAAGGGTTGTTGAGGTGGTTCGGACATGTAGAGAGAATGGAGCGAAATAGAGTGGCTTCAAGAGTGTATCAGTCTGTAGTGGAAGGAAGGCGGGGTAGGGATCGGCCTAGGAAAGGTTGGAGGGAGGGGGTAAAGGAGGTTTTGTGTGCGAGGGGCTTGGACTTCCAGCAGACATGCGTGAGCGTGTTTGATAGGAGTGAATGGAGACAAATGGTTTTTAATACTTGACGTGCTGTTGGAGTGTGAGCAAAGTAACATTTATGAAGGGGTTGAGGGAAACCGACAGGCCGGACTTGAGTCCTGGAGATGGGAAGTACAGTGCCTGCACTCTGAAGGAGGGGTGTTAATGTTGCAGTTTAAAAACTGTAGTGTAAAGCACCCTTCTGGCAAGACAGTGATGGAGTGAATGATGGCGAAAGTTTTTCTTTTTCGGGCCACCCTGCCTTAGGGGAATTGGCCAGTGTGATAATAAAAATGAAAATAAAAATAAATCTCATCCGAACTTCCTCCTCCCTTAGTTTATGCACTTTCACCTCCCTCTTGCTTGTTGTTGCCATTTTCCTCTTTTCCTATCTACCTCTTACTCTAACTGTAGCTACAACTAATTAATGATCCGATATATCAGTTGCCCCTCTATAAACATGTACATCCTGGAGCCTACCCATCAACCTTTTATCCACCAATACATAATCTAACAAACTACTTTCATTACGTGCTACATCATACCTTGTATATTTATTTATCCTCTTTTTCATAAAATATGTATTACTTATTACCAAACCTCTTTCTACACATAGCTCAATAAAAAAAGGCTCCCAATTTACATTTACCCCTGGCACTCCAAATTTACCTACTACTCCCTCCATAACATTTTTACCCACTTTAGCATTGAAATCCCCAACCACCATTACTCTTACACTTGATTCAAAACTCCCCATGCATTCACTCAACATTTCCCAAAATCTCTCTTTCTCCTCTACATTTCTCTCTTCTCCAGGTGCATACACGCTTACTATAACCCACTTTTCACATCCAATCTTTATTTTACTCCACATAATCCTTGAATTAATACATTTATAGTCCCTCTTTTCCTGCCATAGCTTATCCTTCAACATTATTGCTACTCCTTCTTTAGCTCTAACTCTATTTGAAACCCCTGACCTAATCCCATTTCTTCCTCTCCATTGAAACTCTCCCACCCCCTTCAACTTTGTTTCACTTAAAGCCAGGACATCCAGCTTCTTCTCTTTCTTATCATTTGCACAACATCCACTCACACTCAGACTTCCCACTTTGACAATTTTCTTCTTCTTATTCTTGGTAAGTACTGATCGCAATTTTTTTTTCTTTTAAAATAGTAAGAAAAATATTCTTAAGATTTTGGCAAGAAAATTTTTTTTTTTTTTCGAATATTTTTTGACACTGAGATCAGAGGTCTCGACAGTGAAATGGTTAAATGATTTTTAATGTACTTTTGGGGAAGTGTTAAACATGTAGGGGGTCATGTGGAATGAAAATTAAGCAGGATAGAAACAAGGGAAAGAGAGCTTAAACTCCTTGGACCAAGAGTCCTTCATTAGCATCAAGGCATCCCCTTGAAGAGAACTTGAGCTAAATTTTGTTTTTTCCCGAGCTAAAAAAAAAAACAAGTTGCGAAAAAAGGCTGAAAACAATATAAATGCCTTTGTTGGTTGATTTAAAAAAGGATATGAACAAGGAGAAGAAAAGGTCTGTGTGGCAGAGAAAACGTGGTGGTGAAAGGGTATTATACAGGTTGGCCATCACTAATCCGGCATCATTGGGACCTGTAGAGTGCTGGATTAGTGAATTTGCCGGATTACAGAGTAGTTAGGTTAGAATACACTTAACCCAATGGTGACATTTACGCATCAGCAATTTCACCCACTTTATGCCCTATTTTTGGCCCATTCCATTGTTCCAGCCTCTCAAACTTATAGCTATTTCACTAGTATTCCTTCTATTCTGTCGATTCAGTACAAGAAAATGCCCATTCACCTATTTCAACTACCCAGTAAAGTGGTCAGAAATCGGTAATTTGGCCAATTCCACACAAATTTCAAAAGATGCCAATTTCAAAATAGGGTCCAGAATAAACAATGCAGACATTCTTAGCACTAAAATAGTATTTTCTCTGTTCATTAGTCACATCTCCAGGCCCCTCATATTATGCTTGCTTTCCATTTTGAATTTTTCTTCACACAAAAATAGATTTACTGTTATGCAAACTTCTGCATTATTGTAATACAGTGGTCCCTCAATTATCGTCCTTAATCCATTCCTGGAAGTGGGACTATTATCGAAATAGATGATTTTCGAATCAATTTTCCCTATAAGAAATAATGTAAATTCAATTAATTCGTTCCAGACACCCAGAAGTATCAACAACAATTTTTTTTTTTACCATAAAGATAGATTTACATGCACAAAGGAATGAACATTCAGCATGACAGTTACCTTTATTGAAGGCTGTTGTTGATGAATGGAAGACAGGGAGGAGGGGAGAGGGAAAGAGAGGTTATTGTTTGGAAGGGGAATCCCCCTCCATAAGGACTCTAGGTGACAATAAATGGTATAAAATACCGACAATATGGAAACATAAACACACATGCAGTTTAATGTGATCCTTTATTGACAACGTTTCACCCACACAGTGGGCTTTTTCAAGTCACAAACAGATCTACCTGGGGTGGAAGGTACGGGAGCATTTATAGTCAGGCTCAGAATGTTGAAGTCAGGTGGAGAATGCTGCATCTGATGATCCACTGGGTTGGGTTATAGAGTCCTGGGTAGCTTGGCAGGGGTATTGGACATGTTGTGAGTAGACCTTCTGCAGTGTTCTATGTTCTTATGTGGGATAGCGATGAAGAAGTTTCTTGGCAAGTGGTTCAGCTATGTTATAGAAGCGATTGTTCTGGTTGAAATTGTTGGTTAAAGAGATAAGCGATGATTCCAGGATTCTTCGGTATTGAGTGTTGTCTTCTGTGGCGATGAGTCTTTGAGTTTCTGTAGTTTCTGTAGTATTTTCAAAACTCCACTATCCTCGTCACTTCATCAGAGACTGCAGACGGCGGGCATTAAACATCTTCAACACACCCAGAGAAGACACTGCCGAGAAGAGATACATAGTCCTCCCCACCAACTCCATTGCCAAACATGTTTCCAACATCTTTTCCACTACATCATTCCAAGTATCTACCTCCACAACCACGACCATCAAGGACATCACCAGTAGTAGACAGGACAAGCTTCCATCCTCTGCAGGGGTATACATAATCCCTTGTAATGACTGCAACAAATTATACGTGGGCGAAACATCAAGAGACCTCCAAACCCGTATTTCAGAACACCAATACGCAAGCAGGACTGATGATACAAGGAATGCCTGTGTTCAACATCGCAATTCACACAACCATTTAATTAACTACAGAAACTCAAGACTCATCGCCACAGAAGACAACACTCAATACCGAAGAATCCTGGAATCATCACTTATCTCTTTAACCAACAATTTCAACCAGAACAATGGCTTCTATAACATAGCTGAACCACTTGCCAAGAAACTTCTTCATCGCTATCCCACATAAGAACATAGAACACTGCAGGTGGTCTACTCACAACTTGTCCAATACCCTTGCCAAGCTACCCAAGACTCTATAACCCAACCCAGTGGATCATCAGATGCAGCATTCTCCACCTGACCTCAACATTCTGAGCCTGACTATAAATGCTCCCGTACCTTCCATCCCAGGTAGATCTGTTTGTGACTTGAAAAAGCCCACTGTGTGGGTGAAACGTTGTCAATAAAGGATCACATTAAACTGCATGTGTGTTTATGTTTCCAGGACTCTAGGTCACTTCAGGGGTCACTTCCCTAGCATAAATATAGATTTACATGCAGAAAAGAATGCCAAATATATGTAAAGCACTAATAAAATGTATAAATGAACATTGGTAATAGGGGTAGTTGATGAGTGGAACGGTCTGCCTAGTAGGGTGATCAAAGCTAAAACATTGGGTAGTGTCAAATTTAGGTTGGATAAATACACGAGTGAAAGGGGTTGGATTTGAGTCGGACTTGCACCTGAGCTTATTGCTTGGGTAGCATTTGTTCTGTTAATGGGTTGGATTTGTGAAGGACCAGCCTAGTATGGGCCAGCAGGTCTGTTGCAGTGTTCCTCCTTTCTTATGTTCTTATTGGAGACTTGTTTGTGTGAGGGAGGGATGGCAAGTTTATTGTTGGAGAATATGACACTAATATCAACTCTACAGCTTATTTATCTATCACAATTCAACTAATATGACATAAACAATATTAATAACATAGAAACATGGAATATACTCTAGAATGAATAAAATAAGTCATTACGTATGTCATGAGAGGTGTTGTGTTGTTGTTGGGTATATAAGGGCCACTGAGAGTATGCCGTCCATAATGGTGGTGAAGCAGCAGCTGAGGCGGTGGTGTTTTCTGTAGCCCAGTATAACTCCAACAACATTGGAGGAGTTGGTAGAATTACTGAATCACTAAAGAAGGCACCCTCTACCACCATCACTACCACCTTCTACCACTATTACAACTGCTACCATGATCACTACCACCTTCTACCACTATTACAATTGCTACCACCATCACTACCACCTTCTACCACTATTACAACTGTTACCACCATCACTACTACCTTCTACCACCATCACTACCACCCTCTACCACCATCAACCACTATCACAGCTGCTTCCACTCTACCACCACCACCTTTGTATTTTTCTACAAACTTTTTCATAAATTATGTGTGTTTCTCACATTCTTTACCAAAGGGCTGGCACTAGAAGCTTTCTTTGGAGCCATGGTAGCTTATTTAGCACTTGCAAGCACTAAAATCAATGGAATATTATGAAATATTTCATAGGAGCAAGTGTGGGGGCCGTCGCTCACTGGTAAACAATGGTACACTGGCTGGGAAGGCAGGCCCAGGCGGCTCAGAGCGTGAGTATGCGTCCCGGGCGAAGGACGATTAGCGAGTTAATGGACCATTTGCGAGCCAATGTTTAGACAAAATAACAGGACTATTTCCGAAATGGACGACTTTCAGGCCGGACGATTATTGAGGGACCATTGTAGTTGTATAAATAATGTCAACCCATTTGTGACTGCATAGTAGACTGGCCAGTTGGACATGTATTTCACAGTGACGTCATTTGTTTACTCTTGAACATCTGCAAAAATCGAACATTTCCGCTGCTTTGAGCTCAATTTTAAGGTATTTTCTATCTTGAAACCAATCAAAATTATATCTGTTTCTGTAATATATCTTCCATTCTATCAAATGAGACCATAAAAACGAGAATACAACCATACAAAAATACGCTGCAAAGTCGGGTTTACACCATAAACACGGCCACAGTTTTTTCCTCATTATGCAGTGTGTGCTGCAGGATTTTTTTTTTATATAATGCACACTTACCACACGCACCTATTCTCTCATATGCGGGCCCAAATTTACTGGTCACAGGTTATCAGAGTGAGCTGAGCTCATTGCAGCCGACAGTGGCTTCAAAGCCACTTTATCTTCTATAGACAGTGTACGGTGTATGTGCTTTACACAATGAGAGGCATTTCTTTTATTCATTGGAACCATGGCTAGGGTTAAAAGTGAGCAGGTTATAACAATAAATGGAGAAAAAGAAATTGGAATGATTTATGCAGCAAGTAGTGCCACCAAACAGTAACGGCAGGTTGGTGTGGCAACCCCAGAAATTTTAAATTATGCTAGCCAAAATTAATGTAAGATTACTGATTGCTGGATTAGTGACGGTCAACCTGTATAAGGTTTTTGTTCACAGAACAGTGTAACATTGGGATGGGATACAAGAGAAAGGAGTGAGGCAACTAATAAAAATTTATATAAAAATTCTGTAGTGACAGATTAAATAATGATGGAGGGATTCCACTAATATAATTTCTCATGTATCCACAAATAAGATAATTACAAAAAGCATTGTACTGTAATTTGTCGTGTAATACTGCCAAGTGTGGATGGCAGTATGAAAAGTCAAATACAATGCAAATTTTTCTTTACCAGGTTTTCTTATACCGTGAAAATGGCATATAATTCTTGTAGATCCCATGTTAAAAATAGACATTATAAATCTAATGCATTTTTACCTTACACCTGGCACAGAGCAGCTGAGCTGTGCTGCTGGTAACAGTGAAGTTTGTCAACACTGGCAGAGCCCGATACTCAAGCAGTACAGCCAGCCAATCATCTTGCAGGTAGGGCTACACTATGGCACTTACATTAGGCAGGGATCAACTGTAATAAGATTAATAAGGATACTAAACCGTTTATTCAGATACAATAAGATTAATGTGCAGACTGCTAGATTTTATGGAATTCTTATCATCTAGTAATTTCAGTTTAGAAAAAACTATGGTAGACACCTTTTAACCCAGGTATCTGGCACTAAGTTGTGCATTAGATTATGAATGTCAGTTGATAATAACGTATGATGCAATAACTTGGCATCCAAATACCCCTCACACTAAACATTGCTAAAATATTACTCATTGGTAATTGAAAGCAGTGAGAATTATCATTTACCAGACAAGCTGAGAATCATTAATTCAAACTTGGATATGTTGACTATTATAGTGGAGGGTCTCTGGCAGCAGAGAAATCTGTGTTGCCTTATCCTTGAGAACTGACAACAAGAGGGCTTCATAGCTAGGCTTTTTTTTTTTTGGGGGGGGGGGGCTTCCCTCAGGTCAGAATTGTTGTAATGTTTAGCAGCAACAATCTTCCATACCTTAGCAGTATTTCTTTAAAATCTTGCCATTTTTTAAATATAAACTCATTGCACATTGCTAGATTTGCAACTAAATTTTCATCACCATTCAAACAGTTATAAAGTTCTACCTTATTCTCACTAATAGTCTTGAAGACAGTTTCCTTACAATATGGGTTTGTAACTGGCCTTCAGGGTGGGTTTCCTGCCTGAAGCTGGTGATGGGCTCAGTCAGGAGAAACAGAGCTGCCTGTCACTTAATTGGATCTATCCTTATTATCTCCGCTTTCCCCGGTGCTGTACGACTCCTAGAAGTTTAGCATTATAAATATAATAATGGTAATAATGTGGGGAAGCAATCTCTGCTGGGCTTTTCCTGATTAGTGAGCAACACTTCTTTGGTTAAGAAGTAAGAGTTCAATTAAAAGTTTGAGTTTTGTGGATAATTTGTTCCAGAGAGCCTGCCGAAAGTCGAAATTCACGAAACTCGAAACCATTTTCCCCATAAGAAATAATGTTAATAAAATTAATCCGTTCCAGACACCCAAAAATATTAAAATAATTTTTTTTTTTTTCAAATTAAATAAAGATTTACATACTGAAAACAATCAGAAATCAAGTACATGCATATAAAAAATAATAATGACATTACACTTACCTTTACTGAAGACTTCTGGGTGGATGGAAGACGGGAGGCGGGGATAGGAGGAAGGTGTACACTATTGTTTGGAAGGAGAATCTCCTTCCATTAAGACTTCAGGTAGCAAGTCCTTTTCTGGGGTTACTTCCCTTCTTTTAATGCCACTGGGAACAACTTGAGAGTCAACTGAACCTCTGTCGCACAAAATATCTGTCCAGAGAGGTCTGTTTCTGGCATTTTTTTACGATTTGCCTGAAGTGGGACAAGGTTTTGTCACTGAACATGTTGCAGGTATGGCTTGTTTCAGCTTGGTCAGGGTGATACTTTTCAACAAAACTTTGCAACTCATTCCACTTTGAACACATGTCCTTAATCACCGAAGAAGGCACCTCCTTCACTCTCTTTTCCTCCTCCTCTGAAGCAAGTTCCTCAGCTGTGGTCTGATGCTGTTCCAGTTGAAGCTCTTGCAGTTCATCAGTGGTTAGCTCTTCCCTGTGGTCCTCCACCAACTCTTCCACATCCCCGTCACACACCTCCAACCCCATGGACTTGCCCAATGCCACAACACCTTCCACAACAGGCAGAGGGTCAGCAGGGTCAGGGTCTGCCTCAAACCCTTCAAAATCCCTCTGGATCGTGTTCTTCGCTTTCTTTACCAAAGGGCTTGCACTAGCTTTCCTTGGGCCCATGGTGACTTACTTAGCAGTTGCAATCACAAAAAACAATGGATTATTACGTATGAACCCACGGGGTGATGGTCACGTGTTGGTAAACAATGGCACACTGACCGTGAATGGCGTGGGAGACTGACTTGGTGTGCACGGTGAGGGGCGGACAGGTACCAGATGGTCGCCGAATCATGAGTCTAATCACGAAACTCGAGGCCAAATTTTGCCGAAAAAACTTCCCGAAAGTCGAATTTCACGAAAGTCGATGCTGCCGAAACTCGGGGGTCCACTGTAGTTCTGTGCTGATTATTATAATTATAATTAAGCACTAAACCAACAAGGGTCATAGAGGAGCTCTGTGCTGAATAATCCACATGGGTTTAGCTTTTTGGAGGAAAATAAGTTTAGTTTTCATTTAAGTTTTCATTGCATTTATGGACTTAGAAAATCCATAAATAAAAATAAGTAGTTTAGTTTTCATTTAAGTTTTCATTGCATTTATGGCTTTAGAGGGCAAGGGAATTAGAAAAGTAAAAAGAGATTATGAGGTTAAAGTTGCAAGAGAATCGAAGACTAACCCAAAAGGATTCTTTCAGGTATACAGAAGTAAGATCAGGGACAAGATAGGCCCACTCAAAAGTTCCTCGGGTCAGCTCACTGACAGTAATAAGGAAATGTGTAGAATTTTTAACACATACTTCCTCTCAGTTTTTACACAGGAGGATACCAGCGATATTCCAGTAATGATAAATTATGTAGAACAGGACGATAATAAACTGTGCACGATTAGGGTCACAAGTGACATGGTCCTTAGGCAAATAGATAAATTAAAACCTAACAAATTCCCAGGCCCTGATGAACTGTATGCAAGGGTTCTAAAGGAATGTAAAGAGGAGCTTAGCACACCTTTGGCTAATCTTTCAACATATCACTACAAATGGCATGGTGCCAGATAAGTGGAAAATGGCAAATGTGATACTATTTTCAAAACAGGTGACAGGTCCTTAGCTTCGAACTATAGACCAATAAGCCTAACCTCCATAGTGGGAAAATTTATGGAATCAATAATTGCCGAGGCAGTTCGTAGCCACCTTGAAAAGCACAAATTAATCAACGAATCTCAGCATGGTTTTACAAAGGGGCGTTCCTGCCTTACGAATTTATTAACTTTTTTCACTAAGGTATTTTGAGGAGGTAGATCATGATAATGAATATGATATTGTGTATATGGACTTCAGTAAGGCTTTTGACAGGGTCCCACATCAGAGACTATTGAGGAAAATTAAAGCACATGGAATAGGAGGAGAAATTTTTTCCTGGATAGAGGCATGGTTGACAAATAGGCAGCAGAGAGTTTGCATAAATGGGGAGAAATCAGAGTGGGGAAGCGTCACGAGCGGTGTTTCCACAGGAGTCAGTGTTGGGCCCCCTGCTGTTCACAATCTACATAAACAACATAGATGAGGGCATAAAGAGCGACATCGGCAAGTTTGCCGATGACACCAAAATAGGCCGTCGAATTCATTCTGACGAGGACATTCGAGCACTCCAGGAAGATTTGAATAGACTGATGCAGTGGTCAGAGAAGTGGCAGATGCAGTTTAATATAGACAAATGCAAAGTTCTAAATGTTGGACAGGACAATAACCATGCCACATATAAACTAAATAATGTAGATCTTAATATTATGGATTGCGAAAAAGATTTAGGAGTTCTGGTTAGCAGTAATCTGAAACCAAGACAACAGTGCATAAGTGTTCGCAATAAAGCTAATAGAATCCTTGGCTTCATATCAGAAGCATAAATAATAGGAGTCCTCAGGTTGTTCTTCAACTCTATACATCCTTGGTTAGGCCTCATTTAGATTATGCTGCATAGTTTTGGTCACCGTATTACAGAATGGATATAAATTCTCTGGAAAATGTACAAAGGAGGATGACAAAGTTGATCCCATGTATCAGAAACCTTCCCTATGAGGATAGACTAAGGGGCCCTGAAACTGCACTCTCTAGAAAGACGTAGAATTAGGGGGGATATGATTGAGGTGTATAAATGGAAGACAGGAATAAATAAAGGGGATGTAAATAGTGTGCTGAAAATATCTAGCCTAGACAGGACTCGCAGCAATGGTTTTAAGTTAGAAAAATTCAGATTCAGGAAGGATATAGGAAAGTACTGGTTTGGTAATAGAGTTGTGGATGAGTGGAACAAAACTCCCAAGTACTGTTATAGAGGCCAGAACGTTGTGTAGCTTTAAAAATAGGTTGGATAAATACATGAGTAGATGTGGGTGGGTGTGAGTTAGACCTGATAGCTTGTGCTACCAGGTCGGTTGCCATGTTCCTCCCTTAAGTCAATGTGACCTGACCTGACTAGGTTGGGTGCATTGGCTTAAGCCGGTAGGAGACTTGGACCTGCCTCGCATGGGCCAGTAGGCCTTCTGCAGTGTTCCTTCGTTATGTTCTTATGTTCTTATAACCTGAGCCTGCAATGTGGCAGTTGTTGCAAGTGTATGGAATAGGTAGTAAGTTACTAAATGCTATAGTTTTTACGAGGACAGTGAGGCTCAGGTTAGCGTACGTAGGAGAGAGGGAGATTACTTCCCAGTAAAAGTAGGTCTTAGACAGGAATGTGTAATATCACTATGGTTGTTTAATACATTTATATATGGGGTTGTAAAAGAAGTAAATGCTAGGGCATTGGGGAGAGGGGTGGGATTAAATTACAGGTCTTCCTCAACATTCACGTTTTCAACTTTCGCGGGCTTCACACATTCGCGAATTACCAACTGCGAAATTCCCAGCCGCCAAATCATATTTAAGTTTCCCGCCACCTGCGAATCCCTACTACCCTCCCTCCAACCCCCCCAACTGGCAGCCAGCCCTCCCACCAGTGTGGCGAGTGTTTTGTTTGTTCATTATTTGCTATTAAACTACAGTATAAATAATGTAAACCCATTCATGACTGCATGTTGGAATGGCTATTCGGACAGGTATTGGACGGTGACATCATGTGTTTACTCTTGAACACAGCAAAGAATCAAACATTTCTGCTACTGCTAATAATAACAATAGTAGTAGTAGTAATAATAACACTAATAATAATAATAATTATAATAATAAATACGATAGAATTGAAGAAGGAAATTGTACAAAAATACGAGGGAGTGGTTGACACATG